AAAAGGAAATTCTCAAATTCATATGGAATAACAAAAAACCCAGGATAGCGAAAACTATTCTCAACAATAAAAGAACTTCGGGAGGAATCACCATCCCTGACCTCAAGCTGTACTACAGAGCAATAGTGATAAAAACTACCTGGTATTGGTACAGAGACAGGCAGGAAGATCAATGGAATAGAATTGAAGACCCAGAAATGAACACACACTCCTACGGTCACTTGATCTTTGACAAAGGAGCTAAAACTGTCCAGTGGAAAAAGGACAGCATTTTCAACAAATGGTGCTGGTTCAACTGGAGGACAACATGTAGAAGAATGAAAATTGATCCATTCTTATCTCCTTGTACAAAGCTCAAGTCTAAGTGGATAAAGGACCTCCACATAAAACCAGATACACTGAAACTAATAGAAGAGAATGTGGGGAAGACCCTCGAATACTTGGGCACAGGGGAAAAGTTCCTGAACAGAACACCAATGGCATATGCTCTATGATCAAGAATTGACAAATGGGACTTCATAAAATTGCAAAGTTTCTGTAAGGCAAAGGACACTGTCAATAGGACAAAACGACAACCAACAAATTGGGAAAAGATCTTTACCAATCCTACATCTGATAGAGGGCTAATATCCAATATATACAAAGAACTCAAGAAAGTAGACACCAGACAACCAAATTACCCTATTAAAAAATGGGGTATAGAGCTTAACAAAGAATTTTCAATGGAAGAAACTCGAATGGCCGAGAAGCACCTAAAGAAATGTTCAATGTCCTTAGTCATCAGGGAAATGCAAATCAAAACAACTCTGAGATTCCATCTCACACCAGTCAGAATGGCTAAGATTAAGAACTCAGGTGATAGTAGATGCTGGCGAGGGTGTGGAGAAAGAGGAACACTCCCCCATTGTTGGTGGGACTGCAAGATGGTGTAACCACTTTGGAAATTAGTGTGGCGGTTCTTCAGAAAATTGGACATAGCATTACCTGAGGATCCAGCTATACCACTCCTAGGCATATACCCAGAAGATGCTCGAACATATAACAAGGACATATGCTCAACTATGTTCATAGCAGCCTTATTTATAATAGCCAGGAGCTGGAAAGAACCCAGCTGTCCTTCAACTGAGGAATGGATTCAAAAAATGTGGTATATTTACACAATGGAGTATTACTCAGCTATTAAAAACAATGAATTCGAGAGGTTCCTAGGTAAATGGATGGAACTAGAAATTATCATCCTGAGTGAAGTAAGCCAATCACAAAAGAACACACATGGTATTCACTCACTGATTATTGGATATTAGCCCAGAACCTTGAAATGCCCAAGATGCAACTCACAGGCCACATGAAGCTCATAAAAAAGGAAGACCAAGTGGGGGTGATTCAGTTCTTCTTAGAAGGAGCAACAAAATACTCAAGGGAGCAAACATGGAGACAAAGTGAGGGACAGAAACTGAAGGAGGGGCCATTTGAAGACCTTTCCACCTGAGTATCCACCCCATATGCAGTCACCAAAGGTAGATGCTGATGTGGAAGTCAGGAAGTACATGCCGATAAGGGCCTGATATGGATGTCTCCTCAGAGGCCTTCAAGAGTCAGACATATTCAGAGGCAGATGCTCACAACTAGCCATTGAACTGATCATGAGGTTCTCAATGGAGGAGTTAGAGTGAGGACTGAAGGAGCTGAAAGGGTTTGTGGCACCATGAGGAGAGCAACAAAACCAACCAACCACAGCTCCCAGGGTCCTAACCACCAGCCTGGGAGCACTTATGGAGGGATCCAGGGCTTCAGCTGAATATGTAAGAGTGGAGGGCCCTGCTGGGCACAGGTGGAAGATGAGATCCTTGACCTCATGAAGGCTGGGCGCCCCAGGGGGTGGGAATTTTGAGGGTGGGGAAGTGGGAGTGGGGGGGGTAGGTGGGGGTTACATCCATGGAGAAGAAGGAGGAGGGGTAAGGGGATGGGGGGTTCCCGGGTGGGTGGGGGATGGGTAAGGGGATAACATATGAAATGTAAATAAAATATCCAATAAAAAAAAATTTCAGTACTCACAAAAAAAAAAAAAAAAAAAGAAGGCAGCATTCCATCATACTTTGAGGCTCACATCCCCCTATAAGGAGTGTGTTCTTGAGTGTGTTTATGTCACAGTGTTTTAGTCAGGGTTACTATTGCTGTGGTGAAACAACACAACCAAAAACAACAACATGAGTGTTTCAAAATGTATCACTTTTATCATATTTCACATACAGAAAAATCAGTTATATCTTTCACCTCTTAACTGGTATTTTCCTTGCCTTCAAATCACAAATAAATTATAGGATGATAATATAGCCCTCAGCCCACCTTCCAAGACAATAACTAAAGCAAATCAAGTCTTCCTCAGAGCTGCTTATCACCTTATTAAAAAAAATAAAGTAAAATGGCATTAAAGGAAGATGGTATACATTTAGTTTTTTAAGTTATCAATTGTGCCTAGGAGCTCTTCTGTGTTCAGAATCACTGGCTGTGCATATGTATTCAGAAATGGCATACCAAGATATGATTTACTCATGAGCTTCTCCAACCAGTACTGTACAAATTGAGTCTATTCAGGACAAAATGGGTAACAAGCCTAAAATGATGGACATCCTATTTTTTATATAAAAATAAACTATATTCTTCAAAAATATGGGTATCATAAAATGAAAGATGGTTACAAAGTGATGAAAAGAAGTGACTGAGATGTGATTAAGGAATGTATTATATAAATTGTTGGTAGGATCTTAGACTGGAGAAATGGCACTTTCATGAAGGTCATTTCAGGTCTGTTGAAAAGGTACACTATGAATACCATAGAACATAACTAGCTATGTTAAATGAGCTCAAGTCAGAAACTGCAATAAGATTTGATAGCAGAATATTCCTATTCTTAGGAAACACAGACTGAAAAATTAGAGATAAATAGGTCATAGTCTATGCAATTTATCATTTGAGGTAAAATAAAGAAGAGGCTATGTCTACTAATAAAAAATTGAAGGCAGAATATATTAGCAGTTGGTGTATCTAGATTAAGAGTGGTAAAGGTGGGAGGAGTATTATTGGTGCTATTCTTATTTTTATATCTTGTCTATGAATTGTAAATTTTTCCCTCTAACATTTAAGGATTTAAAATATATTATGAACCAAAATATCTGACTAGACATACTTTCATTTATGACTTTGATATATATTCAGAAACATCTGTTTTCAAGAAAACAAATATAGGAAGTTGGGGCCTGTGAAAGGCACTGAGGATGTAGTTCAGTTGGTAGACTACTTGCCTAGCATGTACAAGGCCTTGGGTTCACTCTCTAGCACTTCATTAAACTGAGCATAATGACACACCCCTGTAGTCACAGCATTTGAAACATGGAGGCAGGAGGATCAAAATTTAAAGCTATCTTCTGTAGCTGTACCCAATTAAAGCTACTCAAATTGATAACGGCAGCTGCACCATGTTCCTTGCTACCTGCCCCAATGTTCTGGGTTCCCAAATGAAAGACACACACACTCAGCCTTTATATTTTTATATGACTTAATCAGTTCAGTGGCCAGACCACTTCCTAACCTCCACGTGGCTAATCTACCTCCCTCTGATATTCCCAAGATATTACTTACTAGAATCTATATTCCATCTAGCTTTGCTAGATAAGCAATTAAATACTCAGGAGTTAGGGAGATAGCTCAGTGGTTTAAGAGCACTTGCTGTTCTTGATGAGGACCAGATTCTGTTCCCAGAACTCATGAGGTGGCTCACAACCACATATAACTCTAGTGCTAGGTGATCGATGCCTTCTTCTAGCCTCTTCAGGGAGTTCATGTACTTGATGACACACATGCACTCAGGCACACCCATAAACATCTCACACGCATAAATTACGGAAACAAATCTTTTTTAAAAGGAGAAATAGAAGACTAGTGCTTTCTCAGAAAAACACCTGTGTATTTATTCTAGGTTTTAAGAGTTATAACTGTAATATATTTTTTCACCAGGGGTGTAAGTCTTATGCTCTCCCATGAAAAGGTTAGTATACACACATGTAGCCACAAGGGTTTTACTGCAAAGATCTACCTCAGAACAGGGGCCTTGCTCTAAGATTGAGTGGACCTAACTGTGCACTGAAGCATAGGGATGTCGTGGGATCACACTGTCCTCTCAGGACTGAAGTGTCCATAGTGATCTTGGGTATGCTAGACACACCTGAGGTTCCTTGGAAAGTTGCATGCTGCTGGCAGTGATCTTTGTGCCATTTTTGGCCACTGCTTCCCTGGGACTGAGGACACTCTCTGGTTTTGCTTGCTGGGTACATTGCTTCTCTCAAAGACGCATTTCACATGCACATCTCCTTGTCCTTGCCTTCCAACAATTAACCCACCTCTTCATTCATGCCCTTCCCTTGCTGTTTGCAACACTCTCACCCTCTACACATATGCACTTTTATCCTTCTTTTCTTACTGTAATACAGCTGAGAAAAGTGAGTGCTGAGGGAAGGCAGGGAGGGCACGAGAGTGTGAGCCCCCCTTTACCCTCCAAGGAACACAGTATTCCAGAGGACACTTCAACCCTTTGGCATTCGACTCAGGCTGTTTCCAATTTATTGCATTTTAATAGCCCTGGCATTCTCAGAAGCCCACTCCATCCATCTTTAGTACAAATTATATTTCTGTCATCAAAAATTGATGTTGACAAATGTGCATAATCAAGTGGCTGGAGGGGCCACTAGGTCTGGCTGATTTATTTCAGACCATACTTCTAAGGGATTTCAAATAATAATAATTTTTTAAAAGCTCATTACATTTTTCTGTTTCTTTCTTTCCTCAAAGCAGTACCTTTGTTCTAGGGTCTCTTTTAAATTATAGAATAGCAGATAGAAGAATTCAAAGCATCTAAAACCTCCTGCTGTGTAGCAGGGAAAAGGAACTGAGAACCTGGAGCTCTGTCTAACATCCTAATACACAAGTCTCTCTCCTCTGTCCAGGCAGGATACATGTCTGGAATGCTGGTGCCTGTTGGGGTGGGGATAGCTGGAGCCTTGTTCATCTTGGGAGCATTATACAGTATTAAAGTTATGAATCGCCGAAGAAGAAATGGCTTCAAGCGGCATAAAAGGAAGGTATGGAAGAAACAAAAGCAAACCTAATCCTTCACTGCTTGTCTGATTGCTTGAAAAAGTACAGAGGGTTTAATGGAGCAGGAAAGATTCCTGTTCAAGGTGCTTTGTACTAGCTGCTCCTTTGTTCTTTAGAGTGGGTCTGCTTCTGGGATTTGCAGAGAAAGAATTTAATGCCTTCCTGTTTTCTTTCCCCAGCAGAGAGAATTCAACAGTATGCAAGACAGAGTGATGCTGTTGGCTGATAGCTCTGAAGACGAATTCTGAACTGGACTTGAGTTTAACTGAGATATTCCATGAGATTATTATTTTATTTTCTATTTGAAGGCAAAAAGAAGAAAGAGAATAAATAAATAAGAAAAAACAGTATCTCACCACCTTGCTGCTGCTACCAGGTCTTCGGTCCAGCCCCATCTCTGCTGGAGAGTAGATTTTTTTCTTGTGCTCAGCAGAAAAACTAAGCTGTACCCTAAATGCAGCATGCAGTGTTTGGCTCTTCTGTAGTGTGTATGTCATCAACAAGGGCTGCAATTTAGAAACACGTAGGATATATGTTCAGTGGGACTTAGGTAGAATAAATGTTTTGTATTTTTCCATTGCCTTTTTCTTGGTTTGGATTACTGGACTGAAGTTAATGGTGTCACCGCCAAGGCATTGTTGACTTTGACAGACAAATTCTAAGGAAGAGTAACTTCTCATAATCCTTCCCTACTTTTTTGAAGTTGTTGGCTTTGGTGTACCCTATCTCTGCACTAGTTACCACTTGGAATGATTTCCCCCCCCCCCGAGATATCTCAGCCTATTAGAATTATAAGCAGGTCTGTATGTCTCTTGCATTAAACTTTCCAGCCTCTTAGTTTTAATTATTTTTCTCTTTCTTAGTCTTGCTGCTAGTAAGAAAAAATGCACCAGAAATTGTACATTACACAAACCCTTAACTTTAATTTATGCTTGCTTTCTTAAATAATGTGGCTTAATTCAATGCATATACTGAATGATTCCTATTTGTTTATCATTATGAGATATTCTTTTGCTATATTACTGAAATTAGCAAAGAAGAAATAAGGATGATATCAAAAAGAGTGTGTGTAAGCTCCCAGATTGATTGCCATTGCCGTTTGGTTCTATGTTTACGTGGTCATTACTTCTCCATATCTATGATATTACTATGGAAGGAGTGGACCACCAGTGATCTTGTGGGCTTTAATAGATAAGGCCATCATTCTTTAGAGAAGATGGCTCAGTGGCCAGAGTTCTCTTATACAAAGGATCTTGGGTATCCCTCATGGGGATGATGGACTGTTAGATCCTTTCTCATTTTCCTTGGAATGTAATTTTCACTTCTATACCAAATAACACATTCAGACACCCTCTTTCAATCTGGATACTTGGGAATTTTGGTTCATTGGATTTAGCAATATGACTTGGATCATTTCTAAGGATAGATAAAGGTTACCAGTAATGCTGTGTTTGTGAACTCCAAAAGACCAGTCAGGAACCAAATAAGATGCACCAGAGTCTTTATTCAAGCTAGCTTGGGTTTAACTCACTGCAGACCTGCAGGATGGTTCTGGTGGGGGAAAAGCCCTGAACATTCATTGAAACAAGGTTTAATAGAAAGCAGCAACCAAGGGGTGGGTGTTTCTAGACTGGCAAGCATCTAACTGGGGGGCTACTGCTGGTGCTGGGAGACAAACCACAAACTCAGCTTCTGCTTTCTTCCAAATTGGTGGTTGTTAGGTAGAGAGCATGAGTGAGGAAGGATACATGTTTCTATTCTTCTATTCTGCTGAAGATGGAACTAAAGTAGAGAAGATAAAGAATACATCATCAGTTATATCAGTGGACTCAGCATGAGGACCACCTTGGACCCAAAATATATACTAGCCCTTTACCATGACATTGGTAGGTCCTTCTTTCAAACCAAATCTACTTGATCAAAAAACATTTATCATTAATTTCTGTGTTTGTTAAATGAATGAATCTTTCGCACAAGTTCTTTCCTCCCACACGAATTTAAGTATCATTTCTAGGGAACTAATGGGAAAATTTCATTTTTCATTTTTGAATGCTGGCTATCTCTCAAAAATATTTTTCCTAGGTTTAATTCTTTTGGTCAAGAAATCAAATGTGTAAAGTTGAGGAAGAGAAATAAAAAGTCTCATGGAGCAAATAAAAGCGAGCCATCTATGAATCAGGCTGAAGTAAGAGTTTTTAGAAGTGGAACATGGGTCATGACTCTCCTCAGTGAGTCACAGTTCCACTAGGAGATACACCCTGCTTCTGCATAGGGGATGTTTTCTAAGAGCAGTCTCCTGCTGTGTTCCTCATGCTGGAAGCAAGTGAACATGAGGAGATTTTGTCACCTGCAATATTGACAAGTTGTATATATTGAACTAACAACAGGTTCTCTTAATTCAAGGACGCCTGGGTGATACATGCCTGGAGCTACTCAGTCTCTAGCTTTACATCAGATCACGGCTAATAGTGCCTCTTAAATTGTTATACAAAAAGTTCCTCTTTTGACCACTTTTGGGACTTTTTTTCCTCATACTGGATTGCCTTATCCAGCCTTAATAGAGAGGGAGGTGCCTAGCCTTACTGTGAATGGATATACCATATTTGGTTGATATCTATGGGAGGCCTGGCCTCTTCTGAAGAGAAACAGAGGACAGAAGAGTGGATGGGGGCAGCAGAGAAGTGGGTGGGAGGATAGAGTGGGAGAGGATGATGGAGGGGAAACTGCAGTCGGAAGGTTAAAAAAATAGTCATAAGTATCAGTCACAAATTCACACAGTGAAGGTAACATGTGTGTGAACTGTGCTTTAATAGTAATCTTGGTATCCCCTTTGGCACACATGACTATGTAGAGAAAGGGATTTACTTTGATCACAGTAGATTTCTGCACAAACCTATTTAATTGTCTGTATAAGGAAATGTGGTATAGCTATACATTAGACTGTGACTCAGTCCTAAAAAAAATAAAGGAACCTTGTCACAGTGGCATGGATATTGGAGGACTGTCTGCTAAATAAAATAAACCAGATACATAAGAAGAGCTGCATGATTCCAAAGGATATGAGCTATCTAAAGTGGTCAAATTCAGAAACCCAGGTAAAATAATGGTTGCCAGAGATGGAGGAAGGGAAAGGAAGGAGAAATGAGGACATGTTAGTCAGTGGTATAAAGTTTCAGTTATGAGATGAATAGGTTCCAAGCGTCTGTTGTATAGCATAGCACCTATACTTCACAATGCTGGATTGTACAACATAGCACACATAGTTAAAAATGATGCATTGTACAGCATAGCACCTACACTCAACCATGTCATATTTTCCATTTAAAGTTTGGTTAGAACAGTAGATCTCACAATAAATATTTCTACAATGAGGCTAAGAGATGAAGGAGAGCAGTACTCTCTGGGTAGGGACACTTTCCCTGGTCATTCTACCCAACAAATCCCACCATCTCACTGCCAAACCACAAGCACAGTGACGTAGTACAGAAAATAAAAGCCAAGGTAAATGAAAGAAGCTACTAGGGGGAAAAAGGCTGAGCTGAGGAGAAGGTTTTTTTATCATGTCCCTTATGCTATAATTAGAAGATAATATTTTTATTTTGAACTGCTTTGAGTTTGCTTTCTTCTGTGAGCTGCTGCTTTTACTAGCTGTCAATTTAATTTATATGCAATATTTAGAGTTAATTAGTATCCCAGGGTAACAGATTCTCTTTACAGGGCCTTAACCTTGGCTGCAGCTCATATATTACCTCAATGGTAGTTTTTTCAGAAATAGAAAATACTCATATCTCTTACACAGGTCAAAAATTCTGAGTAAAAATTTAAAGCTATGTTTAAGAACATATTTAAAGTGGTTATAGCACAGTCAATTCCAGGTAATTTGTCATTTTATTAATTACACATTTATTGTGTTTTAATTTCGTTTTACTTTTTGTAGTACTGGCAAATGAAACTCATGACTTCATGTATGCATGGAGTAAGCAAGTGCTGCACCATTCAGTCACACCCTCAGCCTTCACTTTAACACACACAGAGACAGAGGCACAAACACAGATGCACACTCACATACTTGAAGCCTAAGATTTGAAATATTCTAACCATGGAAACAATATGGAATGGTATAAATCATTCTCCCTTCTCTGATTGACTATATATTTTCTTCCTGTAGAAGTCAAAATCAATCACCTTTTAAATCTCATCTATAGAATACACACACACACACCAAATCAAATCATCTTTGGGCATTATGATTTCTCTGGCTATGAAGAACCATCATCAATGCCAGCTGCTGAAGAACAATAGCACTTGGACACGAGACTTACTATATGGCACAGGCTTATAGCTGTGTGGCCTGTTGTAGAAGCAGGCTTTGCTTTGACAAAAGAGAAATATGAAGAGGAAAGATGACATTGGAAGAAAGCAATCTCACCGTTTTCATGTAAAAATGCAGTAACAAGGAAGGAAAATATGAACAGAAAAGGATGGAAGAAAACCCTAATACAAGGCATGTGTATTAAAAAACACCAAGTCATGAATATATTTTTTGTTTGGTGCTAGGGATTTAACCCATGGCATCATGCATGCTTACTAAGTGCTCTAGCATTGAGCTATACCTTCCATCTTCATACTTAGCTACTTAGAAAAACAATGAAGCTAAACAAGGAAAAGAAAGAAAATGAGGACGATCATTAACAGGAAAGGAACCGTAAATGTATACAAACCTATGTGATTTCCATCTTTCTCATCAGAGGAAATTACACTAGGTAGAATGAATATGGCCAGGAAGGAACTGAAGTCCACGATAAATGGGGAGATGGAAGTTGACTGTTTTTTTTTAATTACCTTATTTTCAGTTAAATGTCTTCCTTAATTATATAGAGTTGGAATTACTGAATGTAAACATTTAGGGATAGGAAATAAAGTGAAAGAAATTAATGGTATTAACCTAATAAAAGTCTTACCTGTGGACATGGAGCATTCTATAGGATGCACAGCTCCATTTTGGGGTAGTTATTAAACCAATAAGCTGTGATTGACTAAGGAGAGACATCTCTTTATGTTACTCTGTTAATTACAAATCTTGGCCGTCAACATGGCTGTAAACAACTTGTTTAATTTCTCCTGTAAGCTTTTGTTATATAAATGCACCAGAAGTATCCCATACATGTAATAGTTGCATCTACTTCTTTATTAATTGGCTCAAATTTCTGTTATGCACATACACAGTAAGAGAAACAGAAAGGAACAGAAGAAGAAGGAAGGGGAAGTGGAAAAGGAGGAAACCCGCACAAGTACAAAGAAGATAGTTGTCTTCTCTCTCATTCTAGTTTACTCAAACGCTCAGAATGATATTAAGGTGAACTCTGAAATCTTCCCCTGTGTAAAGCAAACATCCTACTGTCCTTTCTCAAAACGTAGCAGGTGCAGTAGCCCAAGTGATAACCACAAATACAATACACTAGAAGAAAACAGATATTTAGCAAGATAGAATGAAAGTTCTCCCCCGAGACTGTAGTCTACAGCTAAGATGTTCAAGATGGCATTGCCTAAGAGGAGTAACATTTTGTGGGATG